AGGAGGAGGAGGAAGATGACAAAAAAGAAGAGGAGGAGGAGGAAGAGGAGGAGATGATAGACTTGTCAGCGCCAGGAAGTGTTCATCAATGAGACCAAGCACAGTGAGGATGCTTAGCCAGGACTGATCAGTCAGAAAAATGTCATTTCTTTCTTTGGTGATTAGAGGGCACACATCCTAGGTTATTCTTACAAACTTCATCCTGTTAGTAATACCCAAGATTATTTGTAAAGATAAGTAACATTCTCAAAATTAATACTATTAATCTACCATAATTAGTAATTGGTAGAGCCAGTATTTGAAACCAAGCCTACAAGGCTGTAAAGTTTGTGTTATTTCCTTGGTTTTTTCACATCAGGATCATAGATTTAGGGAAATTCCGCACTCCCTTGACAAGGTGTTGAGACAAAAGCTGAATCAAAGAATGACTTCTGTAGTCTAAGGAAGGTGTCGGTCACAGGGTCGTGCCCAGTGACTTGGGTGTGCTATCCAGGACAATTATTCAGTCTAAAGATGGTACCGAGTTGGAACAATGAAAAGCATGTTGCAAAACTAATTATGGCCCCGTAAGTGCCACAGACTGGAGCAGAAGAAAGACCTTTATGAGATAATTTTTTAATGGTAACAAAAGCAAGCTCAATATTTGAGTAGAAATAACAGTCACACATGTCTCAGTCAAAAGAGATACGTTATGATTTTGTCAAAAGTACAAGTTTGGTTTGAAACAAATCACCATTTTTGATATTACAGTTATATGAAATAGCGTTAGGGTAAGCAATCATACGGCCCCTAACCTGCAGCAAATGAGTGGATCTTCTGATCACTATATTTCTCATGTAGCAAGTGGAGATGATAATTTTTTAATGTATTTGGTATAGGGTCTCACTATGTAGCTTGGACTCATAGTGATCCTGTTTTCAGCCTCCCCACTGCTGGGATTACAGGCATGTGCCACCATGTCAGGTCTCTGTGGTCAGGTTAGCAGCCAGGGGCAGGGCTGGCAAGGCATGTGGTGCCAGAGATCAAACCCCGGTCCCTGTGCTTGCCTAAGCAGTCACTTAGTCTGCCGAGCTATCTCACCAGCCCTGGAGATGATAATCTTTTATATCACATGTCATGGAACTAGAAGAGATAGCATCATGCTGACAGGGATGAACACAGGTACGATCAGGGCTGTCTGACGCGCAGCCTGGTGCTCCTCGGACTCCGTCCTCACTGGCTGACACCCTCGCATTTCGGCCTCACTGAGTACACCACACGGAGTGTGCGTGCCTGTGTGCCTGGAGTTGAATTCCGCTTGTTTATTGTATTCTTCATATTTACAGAGATGGCACTGGATTTATGCAGAATATTTGCTTTCAATCCCACATTTGGTGTGTCTCTCCACTGCAAAGTGCCCACAGCCCAGGCAGCATTTGTAGCTGAAATGAAAGGCTTTATAATAAATATTACCCTTTGTGTGTGCATGGAGAATGGTCCCTTTGCTTAGTTTTCCCCGAGGGCGCACTATTTTGGCTTTATTGTGACACTTCACTGTGACTCCGCAATGAGGGAAAGCCACGCTCTCCATGTCACTGAGAGAAATGCCACGAAATGCTAACACATCTTCTCAAGGTTGCCAGAAATCATTTCCACTGGGCTGTGTTTTCCCATCTGCGAGCTCTGAAATGTTAAAGAAATAAATGAGCTCTATTATCTATATTTTTCTAGTAGATGAGAAAGAAAGAGAAAAAATACACTCAGCCCGGCATTTATTGTTCTATTCAATCAAACTGTTGCTTTAAGCAGCCAGAGGCCCCAGGGAACTTTATCAATGCACTAAATACGTTCAACATCATATTTCAGGTTTTAATTTTATTACAGTATTTTTGTATGTGCCTAAGAAAAACTTTGGGGTTACATATTTCAGGAAAGCTTCTACTTTTCAGCTGAATTCTAATTTGAAAGGCTGTTCTCTTTGATGTGCTATAGCTGAATTTTTAAAAATCATCAAGGCAAAGCACAATTAGACAACGTTTATTATAAACTCAGTCCTGGAACTATGTTTAGAGACCAAATTCATTGAACTTTCAGGTTTCAGAAAAGATACAACAAATCATGAAGCCGTGAATCCCCCAAATCTGTTCAGTAAGCAGAGCTTTTCAGTTTATCTTCTAGGCGGTAGGTTTAAATTCTCAATGCAAGTTTTCAAATGGTATAAAACTGCCTGAAAACACAGATCCAGCAACAATATAGCCTGAGCCCTTTTAAAAAAGAATAAAGAATATAAATAAACAGAGTCTATGAGGCTCTGAGTCCAAGGAAACCATTTCGGTGTCCCAAGATTTTCATGGAAAATGCATAGTAGGAATTCCTACTGATTTCCTCCAATCAGGCAGAAGATGACAGACTCGACAAATAAGTAAGAATTGAGACTGAGAAAACTAAAAGGAAAAACGTAGGAGGACATGAAAGGAGAAAAGTATTATTGATAAAGAAATGACCATGTTTGAGAAAAATCCAGAAGAATAGACAGAAAAAAATTCATAGTAGTGGAGTAAATCTAGTGAAGTTAGTACTCAAAAGTTCATTGGACCTCCATAAATCACTAACAATTAGGAAGTAAAACTTAACAACTAAAATCACTTACAATAGCATTGATATACAAAACACTTAGGAATAAATCTAATGAAACATGTGTAAATTCTGTGCAAAATGAAGAGCACATTGAAAAAAATTTGAGGGCCTACATAAATGGAGAGATTTCAACATGCTTGTGGCGCAAAAGTAACTAAACGCTAAGAGTTTGATTTTCTCTAAATGTGTCTATTAGCTTCAAAGGAATCCCTGTCAAAATCTCAAGATGATTTTTAGAACAAATTAACAAGTTAGTTGTACAGTTTCTCTGGAAATAAATAGAAACAGGAACAGGAAGGACGACCTTATAGAAGAGCAAAAGTCAAGAAGGAAGACTGTCTTAGGTGTAAGAGCACATAAAGCTAGTTAACTCTTGAGATAGGACGCCTCTGATGAGCACAAGCAGACGAGGGACAGAACAGACACTTTGTCTGTCAGTTCCAGAAACAGAGACCCACCGAATTATGATAAGGGCATCACTGAGGAAAGGATTGTTCCTTAAATGAACGGAGATACATCAACTGGTTGCCTAATGCTTTGACTTGCACCTCATAATGGATACATAGATTTTTTTCTTCTGTATACATGGTTTTATTTTCTACAATCTGTTACTCACAGCCAACTGTGATTCAAAAATATTAAATCGAATAGTCCAGAAATGAACAACTGGTAAATTTTAAACCGCATGTTTTAAGCAGCATAAAGAAATGGCTCACTATCCTTCTCCTCCCACCTGGGATCTGAATCACCTCTGCCCAGCTAATCCACTCTACGAAAGCTGCCCACCCAGGGATCAGTAGAAGGGATCATGCTTGTTGAAATATCATAGTGCTTTTGTCCAAGGAACTCCTGTTTTACTGAATAGTGGTCTCAATGCAAAAAGGAATGATTCAGGTTACTTGGGTATGTCAATAACAAGCTGAAAAATATTTCAAGTGATAAAATTAAAGTTCTTGACCAAGAAAACTAGGGTTCAATGTTATGCAGGTTTCACAACTCACTGGAAGCCCTGAAGCACACCTCCTAGGATAAAGGTAGATGACTACTGTACAGTGACAATAAGAAGATTATAGATCAAAACTTATACTGTAAAGCTATAAAGACTCTAGAAGATGTGACATGGTTTCATGACCTTACAGTAGGCAAAGATTTGCCCAGCAGTTTACAGCAAACACTAAAAGAAAAACGATAAATTAGAACACAATTTTATAACAGAGCTACTACCAGTATGAGGAGTTTCTGTAAAAATTCTGTTTCATTGTCCACTTATACAACACAATCAAGTAGGGGCAACTCGCTGAGCCGTATGCCTGGGATGTGTGTACACTTCCACCTACACGTTGCCCTCTTGAAAACAGTTTTTAAAAGACAGCTAAAAGTGAAAAGGCAGGGCACAGAGTAAAAGAAGACATCCTCAATATATACATTTAAAACATCTATACAGGGCCTGGTGAGATAGTTCGGCAGAAGTAAGTGCTTGCCTGGCAAGCGCAGGGTCCTGAGTTCAATCCCCGATACCGCAAAATAAATAAATAAATAAATAAATAAACAAACAAACAAATATGTACACATGCCAAAGAATGTATAAAGTACTCTCCCCAGTAAATGAGAAAAAGACAACGAATTTAAAAATTAGGAAAAATAAAAGCTTTAGCATTCGTGTTACAAAGGAACACCTGGCCAGTCACAAAGCAAGAGGTGCACAGTCTCTTTGCCTCTAGGAAAGTGTGAGAACTGACAAGTAGGTTCCCTTCGTGACCACGGATGGGCAAGGGGAGGACTGGCAGTGGCCACGAGAGTCAGCGGCAGCAGGAAGCCTCCTGGGTGCCAGGGCGGGCGACACTGTGCCTGCCACAGAAGGGGTTTCGGCTGTCTGCTACCACTGAACGTGGTCTAAGCAGCGGCCCAGGAACTGCACTCCTGAACACGCTCCTGTCTTAGCCACTTTCCCCTCACGCACACACTATGCTAAGCACCCACAACGTAGCCGAGAACAGGTGTATTTTAGCTCCTGGTCTCAGCCTGCAGGTAGCTGGCCTCAAGGTAAAACAGCAAGACAGCGAGATGAGGCCGCAAGAAAAGGTGCCCAGCCCACAGCAGCGGGGGAGCAGAGACGGAGGAGCCAGAGACACGCTGCGCCCCTCCAGCTCGCGCCCACCTGCTCACAGCGCGCGCGCCTCCTGAGCTCATGGTGGATGACTCTACCCCTGCGCACAGCACTGCCACGATCGGATCGACTTCCCCATACACGAGACTTCGGGGCCATTGTAGGCGTCCTAACACCACCTGAGGCAAACACGAGTTCCACGCACCGAAGTGTGTGCTCCGCGACGTTCCCATTGTGCTGCTCCAAGCAGGAAACCACGTACCTTCCCGTGACTGCAGAGGGGTGGGAATGGGGACTATTCGCACACCCGAATACCCCACACGAGGAGGGAAGGACGACACTGCAACTAGGAACACCAGTGAACACCAACGCGTCGAATGAGCAAACCCGACAGCGAAGGAGAAACGCAGGAAGTCCCAACCGACACACCAGTGCGGCTAATCTACACGGGAGCAGCCCAGACAGAGGCTGCTTTCGTGAGAACTACGTTCGGGCAGCATGAAGGGACCACTGGGGCTGCCGCTGCAGCTGGGCTTCTCTGTTCTGAGTGCTGGCTTCACAGATACATACGTCTAGTGTATACGTAGATACATAGAGGCGTTAGCTCCTTTTTTGAGACAAGGTCTCTCTTCGCAGTTCCGGCTGTCCTGCAGCTCTCTGTGTAGCCCAGGCTTTCTATGGAGCCTGCGACCTGCAGTGATCCTCCTGCCTCAGCCTCCCAAGTGCTGGGACTGCAGTCGTGCGCCACCATGCCTGGCTACTGTGTAAATGTACAGGCTGCTATAGCGTTTTGTCAATGTGAACATCACCTGTCTTTGTCTGCCAGAAGTCTTTATACACTCACAAATCCAAAGCCCATCGCTTGTGTAGTTTGTAACCTAGTAAAACCACTGATGAGGCAAGTGGGACCTAATGCACACGAGGGTCCCTTGGCATTTCTGGGAGATACAGTCTAGGAATCACACACACACACACTCCAAATCCAATGATTTTCAAATCTCTTATACAGTCCTTGCCATTATATGGTGTGTGTGTGTGTGTGTGTGTGTGTGTGTGTGTGTGTCTGTCTGTCTGTCTGTCTGTCTGTCTGTGTGTACATGAACAGGAAAAAAATGAGCACTAGTTTGTCTGAGTTACATGAGGATGAGGGTAAAAGGAAAGCAGGGAGGTTGCTTTTTTTTTTTTTTTTTTTTCTAAATCCTATTTTTAAACTCAGTAATGGCTGGCCAAATAGCTCAGCAGATTAAAGCACCTGTAAGCAGGCTCAGGGGCCAAGGGTTCGATCCCCAAGCCTGCCGTGCCGGCCCCACCCACAGGGTGCACTGAGATTGCGATTGAGACTGGGCGTGGTGGCGCACGCCTGTAATCCCAGCTCTTGGGAGGGTGTAAACAGGCGGATGTCTGAGTCTGATCTAGTAGTGAGACTCTGTAAACCCTCTACACCCTTCCCTAAAATACAAAAAAAATAAAAAATAAAAAAATAAACTCAGTAATGTGAAATCCTCATGTAC